CCTCATCCAAAGGGTCAACATGAGTTGAGATCAACTAGAGGGCAGTTAACCACAACAAAAACAGTGTAATGCAATATTGTTTTCTCTGAGAGATCTTTCAACAGGGTTACCACATGCTGCTTTTGCTGCTGCTGTTGCTGCCCAGTATCTGCACCTTGTTTTGTTGAGATATTGGTTCTTGTACTTTGGATGCATCATAAGACATGATTAATGGAAAATGAATAAACTTTGGTAAAGTGGAAGGCAACAGAAAAAGAGAAAGACCAGATGAATTGAGTCAATAAAGGAAGCCAAAGCACTGAGTTTGGAAGACCTGAGCAAAGCTGTTGGTGACCAGGGTTCTAAGAGGTCTCTCATTCATAGGGTTGCCATAAGTCAAAGGTGACTTAAAAGCAAACAACAAAAACTGGGAATTTCTTATTGACCTATAGCTGGGTACAGCACAATAAATATTTTATTGTCCCCATCTAATTTTACTTCCATATCTTATATTCCTACAGGGAGACAGAGAACAATAACTAGCAAAACGAATACAATATGTAAAATCCAGAACTATTTATCAAATGATTGTATCATAAAATCTTAGTATCACAAAATCACTGTCTAAGCTGCTGCCCATATGCTAACCTTGCAGATTCCTATGGTATTGCTTAGAGAGAATTGTAGACCTTTCTGTCAGAATAGCATACTTGATTGGGCAAGAGGCATGAAGAAAGAAATGGATGGATCATCTTCACAATTTACTTGCTTGTTTCTTATTGGAACTCAGATTTCCACTGTCCATTCCTTTCTATTTTGAAAGCCAGCAAATATTGGTGAACATATACAGGCAGGTGCTGCTATTTACCAAGTATCAGGCTACACCTATTGCTTGAATAAATCTGAACAGCATCTTAAAGCAAAGGAGACATTGCTGCAGTAACATTGACAGAAGGCCTAGCTATTAAGCTGTCTACAGAGTCTAGTATCAGTGAAATGTTTGACAGCCGCAGGGACAAATATGTATTAGCAACATTGCTTAATCCATGTTTCAAGGGCAGAATTGAAACCATGCTTTCACCCTATGCAAGCACCGATTGCTGGAAGGATACTGTCATAAATAATAGTGCTGGAGGCCATACCATTATGCATTTCCTTTTCTCCCTCATCCTTCCACTTTGGTCCCCTAGGCCAAGTATATCTCATAAAGCAGGAAATGCACAAGTTCCTGAAACACCACAGAGTGCAAAAGTCGTAATCACAGCAATACCCATAGTTCTGGAGTCTTAAGTTATCAGCTCAGAGTGGGGCAGTGCCATCTAGGAAAACTCATTTTGTCTGTATCATTCAAAGAATCTATCCATTATGAAAGGTCTATAGGTGTCATGGGAGATCCTTTCATATAGAAGGAATGGAGAAGTTGACTTCTGAAGGCCAGCAGTGGCAAAATGGGGGGAAAGAAAGTAAGAGAAGAATAAATACTGTTCTCAAAAAGTCACCATCCATTACAGAACTTGGATTTCATTTGCAGATCTCTTGGAAGCAATTTGTCTAACTAGAGAAGGGAGCTTTAAAAATAAATAAATAAATAAAGGTGGCCTGACTATTAAAGAAGCAGTCTGGAAAGTTTTGCAAGTTATAAACACAGGAAGCATTTGAATTTAAAGAGAGGCTATGGTTAACTTTTGCCAAGACAGTTGCCATAGGGCATCCTAATTCCTGGAACTTCCTCCAGCCTGTATGCAATGGACAGTCCTTGCAGTCAGCCATTGATGTGTGATGGTCCTCTCAAAGATTGGCAAGACAGTATAGTCAAAAAGTTTATGAATAGCATGGTGGTAATCCAAACAGTGGGGCCTGGCCCACATGATGGGTCAGTCACAGAAGGAAGAGAATATACATATCCATGCATATATTGAGACTTTTCCATTCCAAAGCCTGTCCATTAAATTTAGAAGTAGCTACACTTCTGCACTACATGAAACTTTAATAATATTGACATTTTTGATGTGTAATGAGACAAAACAGTATTAGTAGC